AATTAAAGCTGAAAATTGAATTCCTTTCCCAACATTTCGTCTCTTTCTGGATCGTCAATGCCCTAGTTTCCTCCCGCGTCTCCCTCAACTCCCGCTCCTCCTACGACTGCAGCAGTCATATACTTACTAGGTAAGAATTTAAGGACTAGCGTACGTACTAACGTCTGCTAGTTCTTTTTAGACTTCAAGAAAATATTAGGAGCAGTTTCGTTCATGTTCTTTTCTCTAATTTGAACCAGTAAGTTCTAAGTTATCTAGAAACTTAATCGTTTTTAAGGATATCGTCCATTTCGACGGAACCGTTAGGTCGTTCTTAAATAATGTGTCTTCTCCCGTAAGTCCAACTGTGCTGCTCACGCTCTTAACTCCTAGAACTATCCTCTCATTTCTCTATCATGTCGTTTTCCTCCTTCCTTTTTATTCTTATCAGCTTAGACGCTCTTCTTTCGGTTTTTCTAGTATCTGTGCCCCATCTTCTCGTAGTTATGTGTGTGTGTGTGTGTGTGTGTTTTTTTCTGTCATACTTACAGGCTCTTTCTGTCTCATTTCTTGCAATGTTTCTTCTCCTCGCATCTCGCGTATAGTCCTCGTATTGCATGTTATCTTCCTTCCGTATTGGTTCCACTCCTACCTTCGTGCGGTTTTTGAATATGTCTTTCATAAGTCTACGAATGTTTTTTTAGAAGCCATAGTTTATTGAAGTCTCTCTCTCTCTCTCTCTCTCTCTCTCTCTCTCTCTCTCTCTCTCTCTCTCTCTCTCTCTCTCTCTCTCTCTCTCTCTCTCTCTCTCAAACTCTTTCGCTCGTTTATGTATCTATCAAAACGCTACTATATACGAGCTCATTTATGTTTTCTTCTTTCCTTGCCCAGATTATTGCGTTTCCTCTATGCGGTTATTATCACATCTGGTATTTTTATTCGTTATTCTCCTTTGTACTTCTCTTCCCCACCTGCCTACGTTTCAAATCCTGTAATTCCGTCGTATCGTAGTTCTCTAATGTGTCTCTGCCTCCGTCCTTTTTTCTGCCCCTTCTGCCCCGTTCCTTTCCCTTCCCACTACGTTTCCCCCCGTTTCCCTCCCAGGGTCTTCGCTATAACGTTCGGAGGCTAATGTGGAAATTAAAAGGATTTTGTTTGATTTTTGTTTGAAATGTTAATGATTGATGCTACTGCATTGTTATGTTAGATTTCTTTTAGGTTCATTTTCTGATTGTGACTCGTCTTTGTGTGTGCATATCGGTATGTGCGTGTGTGCGTATGTGTCTCTGTGTGCATATTCATACATATCCACCTGCTATTGCATTAACAATGCGTATCTGTGGATTTTAAAAAAATGGTCAAGCTATCATTTCCGAGAAGGTTCTTTGCCCACTCAGTGAGTGTGTTGTTTCATGTAACAGTTGGATGATTCAGGAACTATGCTATCGACTTCCCCCCCATGCTAGGCAGGGGATGCGGTAGCATAAGGTCTGGGTCAATTAACTGTCACGCATTTCCATCATGCCATGCATTCATTTCACTGCACCGGACCTATACCGAAATAAACAGAGCACATGTATATTCACCACAGTCGTATATGCATGTATATTTATGCATTTTGCACTCAATCATCATTATACTTCATCTATACATTATTTTTTACGGCATATGCATTACCGAATAAACGGTCACGCATTCACAGTTCACGCATTCATCATTTTGGCAAGTCATGTTTATGTTTCATCGATAAAGTATAGGTTACCAGTCAAGGCGAACTACCTAGGAAATGTGAAAGAATGTGGTACGGCACGTGCTAAATTGTCGTGGCAAATACACAGCATTGAATCACTTAGCCACGATTCGCTATTTTTTTTTCATAACGATGAAAAAAAAATTGTACATAACGATTGTAATAGGTTGCTTCGCAACCCAAAAAAAAAAACAAGAGACACGACTGAATAGAGAAATACTGAAGTTTAACCATTGTGGGATACACTTGTCCATTTGCCACTACACCACTGCGTCGGTACAGCTGGAACCGCTGCCTGCTGTACATCTGTAACGAGACATGAATGATGAAAGGACAACGAGTAAGGAAGTGCTAAGGAAAAAAGTCACAAGCAATGTCATCATTAGGGATGCACAAACAAGCTCGTCTGGTGATTGGATCGGGGAGGGGGGGGGGGGGCGGAGATTGAGGAAAGGAGGGAGGAACACTACCCGGTAACCCATAGCAGTGCATTGCTGTGGCGATGGGGCGATATACAAGCTCATCCAGTAATTCACAACACACGCTATAGATGCTCGCTACAGATACAGGTGCTCACTTCACATGCAAACACTCACCGGCTCACAGCCACGAGAGACGGAATGCTAATCACTCAAGATTTGAGACGTCTGCGAATCGAGTTTTGAGACGCCTCAAGACACTCACTGGCTCACAGTCGCATGAGAAGAAATGCTAACCACTCACCCATAGCAGTGCGCTGCTGTGGCTATCGGGTACTCGTCAAGCTCGTACAGTGATTGGATGTCAAAGACAGAGCGAGGCGCAGGAGGGGAAGGTGCACGCTCCAGGCAATCAGCGGCTCGCAGTTAGAAAAGGCATAACAGTGGCTATACACTTACCCATAGCAGCGCGTTGCTGTGGCTATAGGGCGACCCACAAGCTCATGCAATGTTTGGATGTCAAAGACAGAGAGAAAAGAGGGAGGGGAAGGTGCACGCTGCAGACAATCAGAGGCTCGAAATCAGAGGCATAACGGTGGCTACACACTCACCCGTAGCAGTGTGCTGCTGTGGCTATGGGGCGACCAACAAGCTCCTCCAGTGATTCACAACACACGCTACAGATACGAATCACTTAGTGCGTAGAAATAGTAACTCACCCGTAGCAGTGCGCTGCTGTGGCTATGGGACGATCAACCAGCTCATCCAGTGATTGGATGTCAAACACAGAGCGAGGCGGGGGAGGATGCAGCAAACACTAACAGGCTCACAGGCTCACAGTTACAAGAGACAGCACAAGAACCAATCACCCGTAGCAATGTGCTGCTGTCTTTTGAGTCGACTCAAAATTCAGCTCGTTACAAGAGACAGCACAAGAACCACTCACCCGTAGCAATGTGCTGCTGACTTCTGAGTCAACTCAAAAGTCAGCTCGTTACAAGAGACAGCACAAGAACCACTCACCCGTAGCAATGTGCTGCTGACATTTGAGTCGACTCAAAAGTCACCTCGTTACAAGAGACAGCACAAGAACCACTCACCCGTAGCAATGTGCTGCTGACTTTTGAGTCGACTCAAAAGTCAGCTCGTTACAAGAGACAACACAAGAACCACTCACCCGTAGCAATGTGCTGCTGTGGCGATGGGTCGATCCACAAGCTCATCCAGTGATTGGATGTCAAACACAGAGCGAGGCGGGGGAGGAGGAGAGGCGAGGGGGGAGTTTGTTGCAGTGGATGGTCTGGAGGGAAGACCCAGAGCGAGGTGACTTTTGAGTCGACTCAAGAGCGAGCTGCTGGTTGAAGTCACAGTTGTGTTTTGAGTCGACTCACAACTATCAAGAGCGAGCTGCTGGTTGAAGTCACAGTTGTGTTTTAAGTCGACTCACAACTATCAAGAGCGAGCTGCTGGTTGAAGTCACAGTCGAAGAGAGCGCCTTGCTTGTAGTGTGGGGGAGTAGCAGAGGAGATTAGGGGGCACAAGAACGGAGAGAACGGGAGGGGAGAGTCTGATGCAGTGGATTGTTTGGGGGAATTGGTTGAAGTCACCATCGAAGACTGCGCCTTGCCTGTAATAGGCAGGGCGAGACATGGACGTCCGAGAGCAGAAAGGGGAGCGTCGGTTGCTGCAGATGGCTTGGGGGGAATGGCTGAGGTTGAGCTGCTGGTTGAAGTCACAGTCGAAGAGAGCGCCTTGCCTGCAAGGGAACACCGAATAGGAGGAAGGAGAGAAGAGCGGGGGGAGAGGAGATGGGAGAGGCGGTTGCAGTGGAGGGTGGTTTGGGGGAAGGCGGAGGGCGAGCTGCTGGTTGAAGTCACAGTCAAAGAGAGCGCTTTGCCTGCAAGGTAATACCAAATAGGAGGGGAGAGAAGAGAAGAAGATAGGGGGAGAAGAGGAGATAGGGGGAGAAGAGGAGATAGGGGGAGAAGAGGAGATAGGGGGAGAAGAGGAGATAGGGGGAGAAGAGAGGGGACGGCTGGTTGTAGTGCATGTTTTGAGGGGAAGGACGAGGGCAAGCTGTTGGTTGAAGTCAGAGTTGAAGAGAGCGCCTTGTCTGCAAGGCACACACACGAGTCCCCCACATGCGCGTTTCCTCCCTTTTGAGTCGACTCAAAAGTCAGCGCCCCACATGCGCGTTTCCTCCCTCCCTCTCCCCTTCCCTCATCCACGCACCGGTCAATGCTGATCAGGTTTCGGCACATCACGTTGCCCACTGCTGCAGGGTTGAACACACATACCGGTCACACACATGCATGCATTTCCCCCCCTTCCCCAGCCCCCTCTTCCCCCCTCCCCCTTTTGAGGTGACTTTTGAGTCGACTCAAAATGAGGTGACTTTTGAGTCGACTCAAAAAGAGATTACTTTTGAGTCGACTCAAAACTCACCCCTTCCCCAGCCCCCTCTTCTCCCCTCCCCCTTCCTCTCCCACACACGCACCAGTCAATGTTAATCGGGTTTCGGCACCACATTGCCAACTGCTGCTGGGTTGAAAGCAGGTATCGTTCACCTGGTTTCAGCACAGCACGCTACCCACTGCTCCTGCTCCTGGGGGAGAGGCATGGGAGGGAGTGGGAGAGAAAGCAGCAGAGAGGGCCGCTTGAGGAACATTCACCTGGTTTCAGCACAGCACGCTACCCACTGCTCCTGGTCGTTTTTTCAGAATTCAAGATGAATCTGAAGGCAGTTTTGCTCATAGTGGAAGAGCCTGACAGACACTGAATGAACCTGCAAGCCGTTTTTGAGAGTAAAAATAAAACGACCTGTAACCATCAGGTTTTGCAGGCCGTTTTTGCTAATAGTGGAAGAGCCTGACAGACTGAATGAATCTGCGGGCCGTTTTTGAGAGTAAAAAAGAACACGACCTGCAACCATCAGGTTTCGGCACGTCATGGTGCCCTCTGCTGCCGGGTTGAACGCAGATACATGCGTGGGTGGGGGGAGGGGCAGGCCGGGAAGGGGAAGGGGTGGGAAGGGGGCGGAAGATGGGGCGGAAGATGGGGCGGAAGGAGGGGCGGAAGGTGGGGCGGAAGGAGGGGCGGAAGGTGGGGCGGAAGGTGGGGCGGCTGGTGGGGCGGAAAGTGGGGCGGAAGGTGGGGCGGAAGGTGGGGCGGAAGGTGGGGCGGAAGGTGGGGCGGAAGGTGGGGCGGAAGGTGGGGCGGAAGGTGGGGCGGAAGGTGGGGCGGAAGGTGGGGCGGAAGGTGGGGTGGGGTAACATATGATGCTTGACTAGCTGATGGGATTTCAGCATGTCACGTTGCCCACTGCTGCCGGGGTGAAGGCAGATTCCTGCATGGGTGAAGGCAGATTCCTGCATTGTCACTCATGGTTTGGAAGAGCGGCAGTGCTAGAGAAAGCCTTTTGCAAGTAAAGAAAGAGAGTTCTAGAAGATTCCTGCATGGGTGAAGGGAGAGGGAGGGAAGAAAATGGGAGGGGGAAGGGGGTGGAGGATTGGGGGGGTTGGGATGAGGTGGGATGGGATGGAATGTGATGGAATGTGATGGAATGTGATGGAATGTGATGGAATGTGATGGAATGTGATGGAATGTGATGGAATGTGATGGAATGTGATGGAATGTGATGGAATGTGATGGAATGAGATGGAATGTGATGGAATGTGATGGAATGTGATGGAATGTGATGGAATGTGATGGGGCAACATATGACACTAGAAATTGCTGACCGAAATTCTGCACATCACATCACATTTCCCACTGCTACCGGGTAGAGGGCAGATTCCTGTGTGGGTGAGAGAAGAGGCAGGTGAGAAAATGGAAGAGGACGGGGTGGGAAGGGGTGGGAAGGGGGTGGAAGTTGGGTTGGGGTGGGGTGTGGTGGGGTGTGGTGGGGTTAATGGTATGCCAGCTGGCACCAGCTAATGAAGTAACTTTAGCAATCACATGGCAATGGTGTGCTTATGAGGCACGAATTAGTGCTCATGAAGAAGGGCAGAAATAGGAAGAGTCGCTTTAGCAAATGGACGATAGTTGGTTTGTTTGCTTACGAGGCGCCTCAAAATATGTCTTACGAGGCGAGGCGCCTCAAAATATGTCTTATGAGGTATGTACAATATGCCTTGTGATAAGTCGAGTTTTTTTAGAATTCTCAAAAAACACACGCTGCAACATATGTCTTATGAGGTGCGTGTACAACATGCCTTGTGAGAAGTCGAGTTTTGAGTCGACTCAAGGCTCTTTGTTTCCTTAGGAGGCGAGGCACCTCAAAGGATGTCTTATGAGGCGAGGCGCCTCAAAGGATGTCTTATGAGGCGAGGCGCCTCAAAGGATGTCTTATGAGGCGAGGCGCCTCAAAGGATGTCTTATGAGGCGAGGCGCCTCAAAGGATGTCTTATGAGGCGAGGCGCCTCAAAGGATGTCTTATGAGGCGAGGCGCCTCAAAGGATGTCTTATGAGGCGAGGCGCCTCAAAGGATGTCTTATGAGGCGAGGCGCCTCAAAGGATGTCTTATGAGGCGAGGCGCCTCAAAGGATGTCTTATGAGGCGAGGCGCCTCAAAGGATGTCTTATGAGGCGAGGCGCCTCAAAGGATGTCTTATGAGGCGAGGCGCCTCAAAGGATGTCTTATGAGGCGAGGCGCCTCAAAAGAGGAGGGTACCCTTGGCATGCATGTATGTGAATGGCATGCTTAATGAATGCCAGAACGCATGCAGTCATGGCATCTCCCTCGCATGCAGTCATGGCATCTCCCTCGCATGCAGTCATGGCATCTCCCTCGCATGCAGTCATGGCATCTCCCGCGCATGCAGTCATGGCATCTCCCTCGCATGAATGGCACCAGCATAGAGCCAACACGTGTACTCTATACAAGCATCTTCACTATAAGGCTTACTAGCAGCTGCATGTAGTCCTTGAGCTGGCCCTGCATAATTAAAAACGATGCGAACACAATAGTACTCCATATAAGCAGCTCTCTACACAACTTTTACCAGCAGGTGCATGTAGTCCTCGAGTTAGCCCTGCCTATGCAGAAATGACGCGAATCTGGGACAGGCTGCACGGACATACATGCACGGACAGCGACACATGCTCAACTTGTATGATTCCTCAACAGTAGTTTATGACAGAGACGATGCCATGACTGTTAGACATGTTCCAGCGAGCAGCAGTGAAGGAACAAGTTTAGCGTTGGAGAAAAGTTTAGCGAAGGAGAAAATTTAGCGACGGAGAAAGTTTAGCGAATGAGAAAGTGTAGCAAAGGAGAAAGTTTGGCGAAGGAGAAAAAAGTTGCTGCGAGAGGAGTATACTTTTTGAGGCGCCTCAAACATAGTACACGTAGAGACACACACAAAGATCGCTCCTCAAATTACATACACGCATGGATGGAGACACACGCGTGGACAGAGGCACACACATGGATAGAGGCACACGCAAAAAGCGCATGAATTGAAAGCAGCAGCTGCACATGCCACCTCAACCCAGCAAGCCCCCTCTTGTCAGGCATGTTGGTGATGGTTTAAGGATTAGTGACCTGGCTGCTGAGCAACAAGCACTCTACCCCTCAGCTCACTGCACACCTCTGCACACCTCTGCTCACAAATTCTCACCCTTGTTCACCTCTGCTCACCTGCTTTCACCACTTACCACTCATCACTCACCGGGCATGATGGTGGTAGTGTTGAGATAGCTAGGCAAGGTGAGTTGACTATCGAGAGAAATTTTACAAGTAGGAAAACCCTAAGGGGTTATCCCCTATAACATCTACCCCACTACAGCCTACCAATATGTATCACCTATATATATCATTTGACACACCCCCATAGGCAAAGTGGGGGAGAGCAATGGGTCACAAGACCAGTCAAGAGAAACAAAACAAGCTCAGGGTGGATCACAACGTCACCACACATTCTGAGCACAAGCAAATGGCCACAAGGCCAGTTCACATGCAGAGATATATATGCAGCAATGACAGTACAGTGTCGAGCTACCTAGCAAGAGCCAGCATGCAGGTATATAGGTATATAGATCACAGTACAAGCAAAGACTACAGCAAGTGTGGAAGCATAGGCACAAGGCCTAACAGAGTACAAAAGCGCTGATGATCACCAGACGGAAGTGCCTTGGTGAATATATCAGCAGTGTTGGCCCGAGTGGCCACGTAACGAAGACAAAGCTGGCCTCGCTGCTGCAACTCTCGAGCCAGGAAGTAACGCAGAGCAATGTGCTTCGTTCTGTGTTCCAGTCTGTGCTCCTCACACAAGGCAATGGCGGCCTTGTTGTCAACGTACAGCACTGGAGGAGAACGAGGCTGCTCTCCCAAGTCAGTCAGCAGGTAGGTGAGCCAGCGTAACTCCTGTGCAGCCATGGCGGTGGCGTAGATCTCAGCCTCACAACTGGAGCCAAGAACTGAAGACGAGCGTGTAGAACGCCACGAAACTGAACCAGAGCCAAGGCTGAAGGTGTAACCCTGTGACGACCGCTGAGTAGCCAGGTCGTCAACCCAAGAAGCGTCTGAGTGCCCAGTGAGGACAACTGGGCTCGTCCCTCCAAGCACTAGCCCCATGCCTGATGTGCTGCACAAGTAGCGCAGTACCCTCTTAGCAGCAGCCATGTGCTCAGGTCGGTGTCGACCAGGAGCCACGTAGCGAGCGAGGAGACCAAGAGGGTACGCGAGGTCAGGTCGAGTGCAAGTCATCAGGTACATGAGGCAGCCGACTAGCTCTGGGTAAGGACCACTCGGCTCTACGGACTCGTCCGAAGGTGGAGCTGAGAGCGTGTGACCTGTAGCCAGAGGAGTGGCCTGTGCTGAAGACCAGGTGAAGCCGAAGCGCTGAAGGACCTGCTGCACCATGTGTGACTGAGTCAAGGTGATGGTGCGGCGTGCTCTGTCCCGGGTGATCTGCAAGCCAAGGTAGCTGCGCAGCTCACCCAAGTCAGTGCACGTGTGTCTCTTCTGTAGCTCCGACTTCACGTGGGCGAGAGCCTCAGTGTCAGCAGTGGCAAAAACCAAGTCGTCGACGTACACGAGGATGTAGAACGGCGGCAGTGAAGTGTCTGTGCGCAGAAACAGCGACGGGTCAGCAGTAGAAGGCGCAAACCCAAGAGCCGCAAGTGTCGTCCTCAGTGTGTCGTGCCACTCACGTGGCGCCTGGCGGAGACCGTAGACCGGCCGTCGGAGGCTCCACTGGGTGCCAGGAGGGAACGACCCAGTGAAGCCCGGGGGGCGGCGCAGCCAGATCTCCTCGTGCAGGCTGCCCTGTAAGAAAGCAGTGCTGAAGTCAAGAGAGTGAAGCTCGTAGTCACGGTGAGCAGCAACGTGCAGCAGCACCCGAAGAGTGGTCATCTTCGGAGTGGGGGAGAAGGTCTGGAAGAAGTCAACTCCCTCTCGCTGACTGAAGCCTCGAGCCACGTAACGCGCCTTGAAGACAGGCGGAGAACCCGGCGGCCGCTTCACCCTGAAAATCCACATGCCACTGACGATGTTCGCCCCAGGTGGGGGAACCTCGTCGACATAGGTGCCTGTGGACTTCCAGGAAGCCATCTCTGCGTCCATGGCTGCCTGCCACTGAGAGGAGTAGGGACTCTCTATCGCCTCTGCGTAAGAGCGCGGAGTCGGGATGTCTGGTGCATCCGGGTCTCCCTCAGGGGCAAGTAGCGAGGACACAAGATGAGGTAAAGCAGCAGCAAGACACTGGAACTCCTCCTGCCTGTCCTCAAGGACGTCCGTGCTAAGAGCACACTCACCCCCGACGGACGGAGGACAGACAGACGCAGACGCAGCAACAAGACTGGCGGCGTAGTCTAGACGACAGGCAGCAGCAAAGTCAACAAGCTCAGCGACAAGAGCAGACGCAGCAGTAGACTCAAACGACGGGTCAGTGACAACAGTGGCTAGCAGACGCGTGACAGTAGGGTGCTCAGCACGAAACCGGTCAGACTCAGGGTCTGGAACGTCAGGTAGAGAGGACGCAGGAGGAGACGGAAGAGGAACAGGCTGCAGAGCAGAGGAAGGACGACGAACTACGAGGTGTGTGCTGGGGACAGCCTGCTGACGCGAACGAGGAACACGACGACCGGGACGAGCAGGCGAGACAGGACGCGACACAGGCTCACGACGCTCAGCAGGACTACCAGTCTGCTCAGTGTAAGGAGAAGGAGCAGGCAGCGGTGAGCCAGGCTGTAACGGAAGACCAGTAGACGACGGGAGAGTAAGAACCTGACGAAGAACAGAGTCAGACGGCGGCAGAGACGACGGAGACGGCGGAGCGAAGAACAGTCGTGTCGGCGCAGCTGCATCAGTACCGGCAGCTCCAGCAGCTCCAGTACCCCCAGCAGCTCCAGTGCCTCCAGCAGCTCCAGAACCTCCAGCAGCTCCAGAGTCGTCACCTCCAGTCCCAGGGTCTCCAGCCCCTGTGTCTCCAGCAGTAGCACCCCCAGAACCAGCACCCCCAGTCCCAGGGTCTCCAGCCTCAGTGTCACCAGCAGCAGCACCCCCAGAGCCAGCACCTCCAGTCCCAGGGTCTCCAGCCTCAGTGTCTCCAGTACGAGTACCTCCAGAACCAGCGACTCCAGCACCTCCAGTAGACAAAGGTCCAGCACCACTCCTAGCTCCAGCAGCGCGACGCTGACGGTGACCGTACCAGTCCTGGAGCTGCTGTGGGGTGAGAGGCACACGTGGACGAAGGCGGCTACTCCAAGGAGACCGCGCAACAGCAGACTCAGAACCCTCAGCGCCAGCACCCCCAGCTGCTCCAGAACCTCCAGCGCCAGCACCCCCAGGCTCCTCACGCGTAGGCTCAGTACTCGCAGACTCGGCACCCGCAAGCTCAGCACCTCCAGGCTCCTCACGCGCAGGCACAGCACCCTCAGACTCGACACCCCCAAGCTCAGCACCGCCAGGCTCCTCACGCACAGGCACGGCATCCCCAGACTCCGCACCCCCAGGCTCAGCACCCCCAGAGACAGCACCCCGAGCAGGACCACCTCCAGCAGGACCTGAGTCACCAGTGACCTCAACAGGCGCAGGTACCGGAGGGTCTACCTGAGAAACACCTGAAGGAGCAGGACCTGGCGCGGGGAGGGGGTCTACCTGGGGAGGACCTGGAGCGAGAAAGAGCGGCGGGGGGGGGCGAGAGACAGTGCGGTAGGGAAAGAGACGGTAGAAGGGAACAGACTCGTCAAAGGTGACGTCCTGAGACGCAAAGACACGGCGCGAGGTGGGGTCGTAAAACTGCCAGCCAGGCGCGTCAGGAGGAAAACCAAGGAAGACGCAGGGAATGGCACGAGCAGAGAGCTTGTCCGCGGTGAGATCGCGGACAAAGGCACGAGCACCCCAGACCCGGAAACGCGACGCATCGCCAACCTCCCCCGTCCACAGCAGTGTGGGCGAGGTCTCCGGCAAGGAGACACGGGGCCAGAGGTTGAGCTGATGCGCGGCGTACCGGACCGCGAACGGCCACAGAAAATGGGGAGCCGCCGCATGGATCATGGAGGTACGAGCGACCTCCATGACTAAGCCAATGCGGCGCTCAGCAACCCCATTCTGCTGCGGAGAGGCCGGAAGCGTGAACGACTGGGTGATGCCGTGCTCCGCACAGAAGGCTGCCAAGAGGTCAGAGGAGAACTCACCACCTCTGTCAGAGTGCAGACGCAGGACAGGAAAGTCCCGCTCGAACCGCTCGCGGAGCTGGAGACGCACAGCGCGGATCCAGGGGATCAAAACAGCAGGGACGTCTCCCTTGCTGCGCAAGGGGAAGACCGTGGTGTAACGCGTGAAGTCGTCGACAACCAGCAGAAAGTACCGCTCACGGCCCTGTCCCTGGACGCGGGCTGGGCCCCACACGTCCAGGTGAAGCGTCTGCAGGGGAGCCTCTGTGGGAGGAAACGAGGAGGAGTGAGGAGCGGCGCGCTGCCGCCCCTCGACGCAGGGAATGCAGGGCGGCGCAGGCGAGGGAGGGAGGGCAGGCAGAGACCTGGGAAGCCCAGAGACCAGAGAGCGAGAGTGCATGCTACGAAGGCGAGGCAGGGAGGGGTGACCAAGGCGGTGGTGCCACAGGAGCGTGTCGTGCGACAGGCGGCGGCACTCACACTGGGTAGCTACCTGAGCAGACGCGTACAGCTGTGGAGACAAAGGAGCGGAGCGTGAAACAGTGGTGAGGGTGTACAGACTGGACCCTGGCTCACGAGTGAACGTGGCCAGGTGGCGGCCAGTCTTGGAGCACGTACAGATCGCCACACGCTGCCCTCCAGGAGTCCAGGTGTCAACCCAGTGATCCTGGAGGACGGCGTTGCTCACCAGGTTCGTAGAGAACGAGGGAACGAGGAGACCTGACAGCTCACCAGACGGGACCGCCGGGCACGGGAGCACAGTCGTGCCGCGTGCAAGCACTGGGCCCCCAGAGGGGTCAGCCAGGGAGACAGGGACAGGTGCAGGGAGCGGAGTGACGGTGGTGCTATCACGAAAGAAACAGCGGGAAGCACCAGAGTCAAGTGTAAACGTGTGCAAGGCCTGAGTCGACTCAGTACCAAGGGGAGCAGACTCACTAGCACCTAGGGCTGCAGTCCTTATACCGGGGTCAGGCGGCACACACAAGTAGCAGTCACCCTCAGCACTAATAGTCAATGCATACATGGCAGCAAGAATAACATCATAGTCCAGATCAAAGATAGGCACATCACGCCTAAGCAGCTCTGCCCAGTTGGGGAACTCAGTAGCATCAGGATACTTAGTACGCCAGGCGTCACTAAGCCTAGCAAAACAACGATACTCAGTGTGAAAACCGTTGCAGGGGCGACCCTTGCGGGGGCCAGTACGAATGACATAGGGGCAGCGGTCAGAACCCCGAGACGCCCCACGCCCAGCATACCAGTCATTGAGCTGCTGGGAGGTGAGGGGAGGAAGCTGCTGCTGCTGCTGTGGCTGTTGCTGCTGCTGCTGCTGCTGCTGGCCACCCTTCTGGCCAGATCCACCCCCACTCCCACCTCCACCGCCACTGCCGCTGCCTCCTCCCCCACCACCGCCGCCGCCGCCTCCACCGCTCCCGGTCCTGCCGCCACCCCACCCACCGCCTCCACCCCCACGGCCACCCCCACCACCTCCACCACCCCCGCCGCCTCCACCACCGCTCCCTCCACCGCCACCTCCGCCACCCCTGCCACCCTTGCCGCCCCTGCCACCACCACGCTTCCCACCAGGAGCGGAAGCCGCTGCGACCTTCTCCGCACCGAGGAAGTCAACAGCAGTAGCAGCAGAGGCGTAGGAGGGGTCAAGAGGGGAGGGGGAGCACCCCTCAAAGAGGGGAGTGCGGGGAGTGCCACGAGCAGCACCGACAGCGAGGATGTTCTTCTCTGCTGCGACCAGCTGCTGCTCGAAGTCGTCCAGAGTGATAGTTGGAGGATCCTTGGCAAGGAAGTAATCCCTGACAGAGCGAAGAGTGTCAGGGAGGCGGGTGACGAGGATGTAGAGGGTGAAGTACAGCGGGGGGGTGTTCGTGGCGAGGAACTCTTTGGTAAGAGCGGCTCGAAAGCGGGCGTCACTAGTGCGGAGGTGAGTGATAAGGTCGGCAGCAGTGTGAAACGAGGCTAAGTCTGGGAACAGGTAAGGCAGGATGAGACTACCAACGGTGGCTGTGGTCGGGGCGGAATAGCGGGCAACGACAGCATCATACAGCGTCTTAGCAGTCTTAAGCTGGTTGAAATGCGCGCGCTCAGAGATCGGTAGGTGATTGCGAATAACAAGGCGCGCGACAGCATCGCGGAGCTCCCACTGTGCTCGTTCAGGGGCAGGAGCAGTCTCAGCAGGAGTAGGGACAGTGCCGGTCACATAGGCTAGCAGGGACACTCCGTCTGCGACGTCAGTCATAAGGTAAAGGCGCAGGTCACTAAGCCAGGTGTCAAACTCGATGGGGCGGCCGTCAGGCTCAAAGGCGAGAACAGTAAGGGTCGCCATGGTTGTAGCGCAGGCAAAAGTAGCAGGCTCAGGCAGCAGGCTCAGGCAGCAGGCTCAGGTAGCAGGCTCAGGCAGCAGGCTCAGGCAGCAGGCTCAGGCAGCAGGCTCAGGCAGCAGGCTCAGGCAGCAGGCTCAGGCAGCAGGCAAAGACTGCAGGTTCAGGCAGCAGGCTCAGGCAGCAGGCAACTGTAGCAGGTAAGGAAGCACGCAGTTTTGTGACAGGCCGCGCGTAAGGCAGGTAAGCGCACGACTCACGGGCGGCTAAGCGCTCAGGTCGAGGCAGTGGCGCACAGGCAGGGCAGGGCACGCGCTGCTGCGGGCTGCGCGCGGCAGCGGGCTGCGCGCGGCTGCGGGCTGTGCGTGGCAGCTGGCTGTGCGCGGCGACGGGCTGCGTGCGGCTGCGGGCTGCGCGCGGCGACGGGCTGCGTGCGGCTGCGGGCTGCGCGCGGCGACGGGCTGCGCGTGGCTGCGGGCTGCGCGTGGCTACTGGCTGCACGCGGCGGCGGGTCGCGCGTGGCGGCGGGCTGCGCGCGGTGACGAGCTGCGCGCGACAGCAGCGAGCACGCGGGCGGCTAAGGCAGCGGGGCGCGCTAAAAAAAAAAATGCACGCGCGCATGCAGCCGAGGCGCGCGCGGGCAGCAGGCAAGGTAGGCACGTATAGTTGTAGGGAAAGTAACTCATGAGTAGGTGGGCCCCAATCTTAGGTCCTTAGGACCATTGCTCTAGATGCCATGTTGAGATAGCTAGGCAAGGTGAGTTGACTATCGAGAGAAATTTTACAAGTAGGAAAACCCTAAGGGGTTATCCCCTATAACATCTACCCCACTACAGCCTACCAATATGTATCACCTATATATATCATTTGACAGGTAGTGAATAGGCTGCTGAGAAACATGCTCTACTCACCTCTGTGCACCTCTGTTCACCTCTGTTCACCTCTGTTCACCTCTGTTCACCTCTGTAAACCATTCATTACCACTCATCACTCACCGGGCATGATGGTGATGGTGAACAGCGGTGCGTGCGTGCGTGCGTCCGTGTGCGTCCGTGTGCGTCCGTGTGCGTCCGTGTGCGTCCGTGTGCGTGTGTCCGTGTGCGTGTGTCCGTGTGCGTGTGTCCGTGTGCGTGTGTCCGTGTGCGTGTGTCCGTGTGCGTGTGTCCGTGTGCGTGTGTCCGTGTGCGTGTATGTGTGTGTGTGTGTGTGTGTGTGTGTGTGTGTGTGTGTGTGTGTGTGTGTGTGTGTGTGTGTGTGTGTGTGTGTGTGTGTGTGTGTGTGTGTGTGTGTGTGTGTGTGTGTGTGTGTGTGTGTGTGTGTGTGTGTGTGTGTGTGTGTGTGTGTGTGTGTGTGTGTGTGTGTGTGTGTGTGTGTGTGTGTGTGTGTGTGTGTGTGTGTGTGTGTGTGTGTGTGTGTGTGTGTGTGTGTGTGTGTGTGTGTGTGTGTGTGTGTGTGTGTGTGTGTGTGTGTGTGTGTGTGTGTGTGTGTGTGTGTGTGTGTGTGTTGTGTGTGTGTGTGTGTGTGTGTGTGTGTGTGTGTGTGTGTGTGTGTGTGTGTGTGTGTGTGTGTGTGTGTGTGTGTGTGTGTGTGTGTGTGTGTGTGTGTGTGTGTGTGTGTGTGTGTGTGTGTGTGTGTGTGTGTGTGTGTGTGTGTGTGTGTGGTGTGTGTGTGTGTGTGTGTGTGTGTGTGTTTGTTTTAGGGTTTAGGGAAGCTATTGGCAAAACCTTTTGATGATAGTGAAACAAAGATAAGTGAATTATTGGGTGATAGTGAAGTGGCTGCTGAAATGATATGTACCGAGCATCACCCAACCCAGCCCTGTTCAACCTAGTTCATCACTCACTACTGGGCACTCACCTCTTGACAGGCATGTTTGGTTGATGGTGTAAACCCTAAAACCCTAAACCCTGGTGAAATGAAAAGGGTGCTGAGCGATACGCTCTGTCCACAAACCAACACAAAACTCTTCACCACTCTAAACCCCTGTTACCCGCTGCGCACCACTTTCCACATTTTTTTTAAACAATAACATAAAGTCATGTATAATCCACATTCAGGTACTGCGTGTATCCCTCACACCCCCCCTCCCCCCTACACTCCGTTGAGCTGGCATCACCAGGAACCCTTTACAGCCATCTGAGGTGCTTCCATAGAGTTACAGGGTGTTTCTGAGAATTCTCAAAAAACTCTTTCCCATCCACAGACAGGGCGGCTAAGGGTACAACGGGTACCACGGCCTAGTTTAAGGCGCCTCAAATTACGCCTCAAGACAGGGCGGCTACGGGTACTAGGGGTACCACGGACTTTTAAGGCGCCTCAAACTACACCTCAAGACAGGGCGGAACGGGTACTATGGGTACCACGGCCTCCCGCTCCCATACAGGCGGCGGCTGTACATCTTGGGGGGAGACCAGGGGCGTCCGCTCCCCCACAGGCGGCGGCTGTACATGGGGCGTCCACTTCCATACAGGCGGCGGCTGTACATCTTGGGGGGAGACCAGGGGCGCCCGCTTCCCCACATGCGGCGGCGCATCTTGGTCTTTCCGCCCGCCAGTGCGCCGTCGCGGAGGGGATCGATCGGGTGCGGCGGCTCTGCGCGGATCTCTTCCGCCTCAGGCTGAGCGGCGGGGGGTTCCTCCCGCAAACGCTCTAATTCGCGCAGCTGCACTCCGCCGCTGCTGCTGCTGCTGTCCCCGCGGGGCTCGAGCCCGCGCAGTATCGTCCCGCGGAATTCGGGGCAAAATTGGTAACCTTGCACATAGGAATATTTATCTAACCCAAACCACTGATTAACACCGTCGAACCCACCCCCGTTACACTGCGGGTAACCAGATTTCGCACAGTCCGTATTCCCCGGGCACTGTAGCTGACCGATTCCCCATTCGATATCATACGTGTTGGCCTGTTGGCCTGCGCTTAGCTCGTAACCGGAATCGGAGGCTCGGAGGTCTATGATATCGCAGCAACGCTCGAGTTTGTGCATGTTCCCCTGGCAGTCCTCGCAGTGAAGCGCGCCGGATTGAACGAGCGTGCACTCTCCCGAGCCGTCGGTGGCATAACCGCCGCCGTAGAGACACGTGCGACGCCACCCGTTGCCGTTACAGAAGCTCAGGACGGCAACGGTCTCGCTGGCCTCGTTTTCGCAGTCCAGGTCGAACGCGGCGCGCACCGGAGCGAGCGGGAGCAGAAGGCAGGAGAGAAGGAGAGTCGCGAGGAGCGTTCGGAGAAGCGCGGGAGGAGTTTTTCCGTCCGCCACCGGCGCTGGTGGTGCGTCGTCGGTAGTACTAGTAGTAGCTATCGAATGCGACTAAGAATAGAACGAACGTAGCGGCTATTTCTACGTAACTCGCTAAAACATTAGACGTTGAGATTTCGAAACTAAAGGCGAAGAGTTGCGGAAATTGGGAGATATAGCTGACGAATTCGTGCGTTACGGAACAGCCTACCTAGATAAACGAGCTGGGATTGATGAGAGAACAAAAGCTGGAGCGAACTAGATATGGGCGACTAGGTGAGTTTGCGACTAGGAGTGGATTGATAGACAGCGGGCAAGGGTGTGACTGTGTGGGGGGAGGTATGATCGAGTCAGGTCAGCGAAAGCTGTGCGAGGAATGTGGGTGAGTTGTCAGGACAGCAATACACGGAATTTGAATCGCGCCGAGTCACAAAGGTCGCCGTGCGACGCCACGCAATCGTTTCGCGAGTTTCTTCCGAGTCATGCTGTGCCCCTACTCTTCGCAAACTCTTTTCGCGCGTTTCTTCCCGAGTTGCTCAGGGCTATGGGGTCCACCAGGCTGCCCGTCAATGCTGCTCTGTTACGGCGTGAATGGCTAGCGAAGAAGTCACTAAAGCTTGCGAAGGAAACTCGTTTCCTTCACAGCTGAAGTTGACTTGACTGGGAGAAAACAACATGCAGTCAACGCCCTTTACAAACGGATTCGCTAACCGTAACAATTTGCATCCACCCATAGGATGATGGTTTCCTAGCAGGAAACCAAGTGCCCCATTCTGAGAATTGGCTTCCTAACATACTAAATGGCAAACGTATCCATTATGTACACATCGGAGGGATTTTCTTCTAATGCTGGTCCTCCTGGTACTGCGAGTACTAGCAATTACTTTGATGAGGGAAAAAAACTAGAGACACGACTAGATAGAAACATACTGAAGATTAACCATTGTAGGATACACTTTTCCATTTGCCACTACACCACGGTGCCAGTACAGCTGGAACCGCTGCCAGCTGTACACCTGTAAAGACACATGAAGGAAGAAAGAAAAAAGAAGTGCCAAGGAAAAAAACACACATACAAAACAATTACGGTATACAAGCGATGCTTTCTCCAGAGATGCACGCAAAGAAGCAGTTGATGATTCATGGAGTAGGCTCCAACCAAAGATACGGAAACCCAACAGCTCCCTTGTAGTAGTATTGTGTTTCAATGGTTATGAGCAGGTTGGTCAACAAGCTCCTGTAATTCACAACACCACTATATCTACTAACTACAGATAACGCAGAAAGGAAAAAAAGAAAAGAAAAGAACCATGTGAAATCAACACTCAGTAACTCACCCGTAACAAGGTGCTGCTGTGGCTGTGGGGCGACCCACAAGCTCATACAGTGAATGGATGTCAAAGACAGAGTGAGGAGGAGGAGAAGGGGGAGAGAGGAGACACATGCTGCGAGCATACTCACAGTTACAAGAGGCAAGAGGTTACCCACTCCACGCTACCCACTCACCCGTAGCAGTGTGCTGCGGTGGCTATTGGTCGATCCACAAGCTTGTCCAGTGATTGGATGTCAAAGACAGAGCGAGGCGGAGGAGGAGGAGAGGAGAGAAGAGAGGACGAGGAGTAGAGGAGGGAAAAGTTGGACACATAACTCACCCGTAGCAGTGTGCTGCTGTGGCGATGGGGCGATCAACAAGCTCGTCCAGTGATTGGATGTCAAAGACAGAGCGCGGCCGGGGCGGGGGAGGAGAGGTGAGGGGAGAGTTGGGTGCAGTGGATGGCTTGGAGGGAAGGCCGAGGGCGAGTTGCTGGTTGAAGTCACAGTCGAAGAGAGTGCCTTGCCTGCAAGGCGGACATTGAATAAGAGGAGAGAGCAGAGAAGGGGGGAGGGGAGAGGGGAGGGGAGAGTCAGAAGGTGCTGGCTGAATTGAAGTCACAGTCGAAGAGAGTGCCTTGCCTGAAAGAGGATACCGAACGGAAGGGGAAGCAGGAAGTAATTGCAGGGGATGGTTTGGAAGGACGGCTGAGGCCATGCTGCTGGTTGGAGTCACAGTCGAAGAAGAGAGTGCGTTGATTGTAGAGGATGTGACTTTTGAGTGGACTCAAAAGTCACCACACTGCTGGCTGAAATCACAGTTGAAGAAGAGCATGCGTTGATTGTAGAGGATGGGAGGGAGAAGGGGAGAAGAGGAGAAGGGGTGACGAGGATGGGAGAAGCAGCGCCCTGCCAGCATTTTTTAAACGTCTCAAAGGCCTCGGTTGAGAATACTTGAAAGAACCAACATTGCCCTCAAAACATCCTGCATTATTTTTGAGTCGACTCAGAAATACCAACATTACCCTCAAGATACCTGCAATGCTGGTATCTTGAGCAACAACAAGAGAAGCGAGGGGCCTTGCCCTGCAACAACAAGAAAAGAGAGGCACCTTGCCCGCATTGCCCGCATCACCCTCCCCACCCCTTATTCACCCTCCCCACCCCTTATTCGCCCTCCTCACCCCTTATTCGCCCTCCCCACCCCTTATTCGCCCTCCCCACCCCTTATTCGCCCTCCCCACCCCTTATTCGCCCTCCCCACCCCTTATTCGCCCTCCCCACCCCTTATTCGCCCTCCCCACCCCTTATTCGCCCTCCCCACCCCTTATTCGCCCTCCCCACCCCTTATTCGCCCTCCCCACCCCTTATTCGCCCTCCCCACCCCTTATTCGCCCTCCCCACCCCTTATTCGCCCTCCCCACCCCTTATTCGCCCTTCCCACCCCTTATTCGCCCTCCCCCGTCCCCTCACCATCCCCCTCTCCCTTCCTTCCCACCGCCCCTTGCTTTCCCTCCTCCTTCCCTCCTCTCCCACGCACACACCTTTCAATGTTGATCAGGGTTCGGCACATCACATTGCCCACTGCTACCGGGTTGAAGGCACATACTGGTCACACACATGCATTATCCCCCCTTCCCCCCGTCCAAATCCCTCCCCCCTTCTTCCCGTCCAAATCCCTCCCCCCTTCCCCCCGTCCAAATCCCTCCCCCCTTCCCCCCGTCCAAATCCCTCCCCACTTCCCCCTCCTCTCTCCTTCACCCATACACCAGTCAATGTTGAAGAGTTTTTTCTGCACATCACGTTGCCCACTGTCGCCGGGTTGAATGCAACGACTAGCCTTTCACAGAGCTCCGCACATACTAGCCCACCACATACTAGCCCGCCACGTACTAGCCCGCCACGTACTCGCCCGCCACGTACTCGCCCGCCACGTACTCGCCCGCCACGTACTCGCCCGCCACGTACTCGCCCGCCACGTACTCGCCCGCCACGTACTCGCCCGCCACGTACTCGCCCGCCACGTACTCGCCCGCCACGTACTCGCCCGCCACGTACTCGCCCGCCACGTACTCGCCCGCCACGTACTCGCCCGCCACGTACTCGCCCGCCACGTACTCGCCCGCCACGTACTCGCCCGCCACGTACTCGCCCGCCACGTACTCGCCCGCCACGTACTCGCCCGCCACGTACTCGCCCGCCACGTACTCGCCCGCCACGTACTCGCCCGCCACGTACTCGCCCGCCACGTACTCGCCCGCCACGTACTCGCCCGCCACGTACTCGCCCGCCACGTACTCGCCCGCCACGTACTCGCCCGCCACGTACTCGCCCGCCACGTACTCGCCCGCCACGTACTCGCCCGCCACGTACTCGCCCGCCACGTACTCGCCCGCCACGTACTCGCCCGCCACGTACTCGCCGGCCACGTACTCGCCGGCCACGTACTCGCCGGCCACGTACTCGCCGGCCACGTACTCGCCGGCCACGTACTCGCCGGCCACGTACTCGCCGGCCACGTACTCGCCGGCCACGTACTCGCCGGCCACGTACTCGCCGGCCACGTACTCGCCGGCCACGTACTCGCCGGCCACGTACTCGCCGGCCACGTACTCGCCGGCCACGTACTCGCCGGCCACGTACTCGCCGGCCACGTACTCGCCGGCCACGTACTCGCCGGCCACGTACTCGCCGGCCACGTACTCGCCGGCCACGTACTCGCCGGCCACGTACTCGCCGGCCACGTACTCGCCGGCCACGTACTCGCCGGCCACGTACTCGCCGGCCACGTACTCGCCGGCCACGTACTCGCCGGCCACGTACTCGCCGGCCACGTACTGGCCGGCCACGTACTGGCCGGCCACGTACTGGCCGGCCACGTACTGGCCGGCCACGTACTGGCCGGCCACGTACTGGCCGGCCACGTACTCGCCGGCCACGTACTCGCCGGCCACGTACTCGCCGGCCACGTACTGGCCGGCCACGTACTGGCCGGCCACGTACTGGCCGGCCACGTACTGGCCGGCCACGTACTGGCCGGCCACGTACTGGCCGGCCACGTACTGGCCGACCACGTACTGGCCGACCACGTACTGGCCGACCACGTACTGGCCGACCACATACATGCCACACACACACATTGGTCCCCCTTCCCCTCTCGCTCCCCCACACACCAGTCAATGTTGATCAGGTTTGTGCACATCATGTTGCTCACTGCTTCTGGGGACGCAGTATGATGTACTAGTGACTAGTTGCACACACACTAGCCCCACCCACGCGGTAACCCCTTTTCCTCTCCTCCCCCACATGCGCATTACCTCCCTCTCCCCTTCCCTCATCCACGCACCAGTCAATGCTGATCAGGTTTCGGCACATCACGTTGCCCACTGCTGCAGGGTTGAACACACATACCGGTCACACACATGCATGCATTACCCCCTCTTCCCCAGCCCCCTCTTCCCCAGCCCCCTCTTCCCCAGCCCCCTCTTCCCCCCTCCCCTACCTCTCCCACACACGCACCATTCAATATTGATCGGGTTTCGGCACATCACATTGCCCACTGCTGCTGGGTTGAACGCAGATACCTGCGTGGGTGAGGGGAGAGGCAGGGGAGGGAGTGGGAGAGAAAGCAGCAGAGAGGGGAACTTGAGGAACATTCACCTGATTTCAGCATACCACGCTACCCACTGCTCCTGGTCGTTTTTTTCAGAATTCAGAATGAATCTGCAGGCCTTTTTTGAGAGTAAAAATAAAACGACCTGCAACTATCAGGTTTCGACACATCATGCTGCCCTCTGCTGCTGGGTTGAACGCAGATACATGCGTGGGTGAGGGGAGGGGCAGGCCGGGAAGGGGAAGGGGTGGGAAAGGGGCGGAAGATGGGGCGGAAGGTGGGGCGGAAGGTGGGGCAGAAGGTGGGGCGGAAGGTGGGGCGGGGTAACATATGATGCTTGAATAGCTGATGAGATTTCAGCATGTCCCGTTGCCCACTGCTGCCGTGGTGAAGGCAGATTCCTGCATTGTCACTCATGGTTTGGAAGAGCGGCAGTGCTAGAGAAAGCTTTTAGCAAGTAAAGAAAAAGAGGTTTAGAAGATTCCTGCACGGGTGAAGGGAGAGGAATGGAAGAAAACGGGAGGGGGAAGGGGGTGGAGGATTGGGGGGGTTGGGATGAGGTGGGATGGGATGAGGTGGGATGGGATGAGGTGGGATGGGATGGAATGTGATGGGATGAGGTGGGATGGGATGGAATGTGATGGGATGAGGTGGGATGGGATGGAATGTGATGGGATGAGGTGGGATGGGATGGAATGTGATGGGATGAGGTGGGATGGGATGGAATGTGATGGGGCAACATATGACACAAAAAAATGCTGACCGAAATTCTGCACATCACATCACATTTCCCACTGCTGCTGGGCAGAGGGCAGATACCTGTGTGGGTGAGAAAAGAGGCAGGTGAGAAAATGGAAGGGGAAGGGGTGGGAAGAGGTGGAAGATGGGTTGGGATGGGTTGGGGTGGGGTGTGGTGGGGTGTGGTGGGGTTAATGGTATGCCAGATGGTTCCTCAGCGTACCACCAGAGAGCAGACCGCTAGGGTTATTAATTACTACGAGCATGTCCCCCCGTACACCTGCTGTCTTAGCGTACATTGTTGGGTGTAGCGAGGGTGTTTTTGAGACGTCTCAAAAACACCCTCGCTACTCTTAGCGTACATTGTTGGCTGGTGTCAGGCCTTATGTCACGAGGAATGAAACAACGGCGAGGATCTTGACATGTATAGAATAGCGATGATGTGGAACGATCGAAAGCATCGAAAGCCTTGCGTCTCACTGCTGGCAAAAGCTAATAAAGTAACATTGGCAATGGCATGGCAATGGCATGGCAATGGCATGGCAATGTTGTGCTTATGAGGTACGGATCAGAGTTGAGTTTTGAGTCGACTCAAAACTCTGCTTATGAGGTACGGATCATAGCTCATCAAGGGGGGCAGCTATAAGAAGAGTCGCTTTAGCAAATGGACGATAGTTCGTTTGTCAGCTCCTCAACAGATTTCTTATGAGGCGGGGCTCCTCAACAGATTTCTTATGAGTTGCCTCAAAAGAGAGTATCCTTGGCATGCATGCATGTGAATGTTGTGTTTACTGCATGCCAATACGCATGCAGTCATGCCATCTCCCTCGCATGCATGGCACCAGCATAGAGCCAAAACGTGTACTCTATACAAGCATATTCACTATAAGGCTAACCAGCAGCTGCATGTTAGAATCTAGCAGCAGGAATGGATGAACTAACAGGATGCAGGAGTACAAGTAGTAAACCCTAACTAGGTTGTACCCCATATGGGCTACCCCACTACAGCCTAGACAATATGCAGCACATATAGTTTGACACACCCCCATAGGCAAAGTGGGGGAGAACAAGGGGTCACACGACCAGTCAAGAGAAGCAAAACAAGCTCAGGGTGGATCACAACGTCACCACGCATTCTGAGCACAAGCAAAGGGCCACTGGGCCAGTTCACATGCAGAGATATATATGCAGCAATAACAGTACAGTGATGGCTACCTAGCAAGAGCCAGCATGCATATATATATATATATATATGTACAGATCACAGTACAAGCAGAGACTACAGCAAGTGTGGAAACGTAGGCACAAGGCCTAACAGAGTACAAAAGCGCTGATGATCACCAGACGGAAGTGCCTTGGTGAATATGTCAGCAGTGTTGGCCCGAGTGGCCACGTGGCGAAGACGAAGCTGGCCTCGCTGCTGCAACTCTCGAGCCAGGAAGTACCGCAGAGCAATGTGCTTCGTTCTGTGCTCCAGTCTGTGCTCCTCACACAAGGCAATGGCGGCCTTGTTGTCAACGTACAGCACTGGAGGAGAACGAGGCTGCTCTCCCAAGTCAGTCAGCAGGTAGGTGAGCCAGCGTAACTCCTGTGCAGCCATGGCGGTGGCGTAGATCTCAGCCTCACAACTGGAGCCGAGAACTGAAGTCGAGCGTGTAGAACGCCACGAAACTGAACCAGAGCCAAGGCTGAAGGTGTAACCCTGTGACGACCGCTGAGTAGCCAGGTCGTCAACCCAAGAAGCGTCTGAGTGCCCAGTGAGGACAACTGGGCTCGTCCCTCCAAGCACTAGCCCCATGCCTGATGTGCTGCACAAGTAACGCAGTACCCTCTTAGCAGCAGCCATGTGCTCAGGTCGGTGCCGACCAGGAGCCACGTAGCGAGCTAGAAGACCAAGAGGGTACGCGAGGTCAGGTCGAGTGCAAGTCATCAGGTACATGAGGCAGCCGACTAGCTCTGGGTAAGGACCACTCGGCTCTACGGACTCGTCCGAAGGTGGAGCTGAGAGCGTGTGACCTGTAGCCAGAGGAGTGGCCTGTGCTGAAGACCAGGTGAAGCCGAAGCGCTGAAGGACCTGCTGCACCATGTGTGACTGAGTCAAGGTGATGGTGCGACGTGCTCTGTCTCGGGTGATCTGCAAGCCAAGGTAGCTGCGCAGCTCACCCAAGTCAGTGCACGTGTGTCTCTTCTGCAGCTCCGACTTCACGTGGGCGAGAGCCTCAGTGTCAGCAGTGGCAAAAACCAAGTCGTCGACATACACGAGGATGTAGAACGGCGGCAGGGAAGTGTCGGTGCGCAGAAACAGCGACGGGTCAGCAGTAGAAGGCGCAAACCCAAGAGCCGCAAGCGTAGTCCTCAGTGTGTCGTGCCACTCACGTGGCGCCTGGCGGAGACCGTAGACCGGCCGCCGGAGGCTCCACTGGGTACCAGGAGGGAACGACCCAGTGAAGCCCGGGGGGCGGCGCAGCCAGATCTCCTCGTGCAGGCTACCCTGCAGGAAAGCTGTGCTGAAGTCAAGAGAGTGAAGCTCGTAGTCACGGTGAGCAGCAACGTGCAGCAGCACCCGAAGAGTGGTCATCTTCGGAGTGGGGGAGAAGGTCTGGAAGAAGTCAACTCCCTCTCGCTGACTGAAGCCTCGAGCCACGTAACGCGCCTTGAAGACAGGCGGAGAACCCGGCGGCCGCTTCACCCTGAAAATCCACATGCCACTGACGATGTTCGCCCCAGGTGGGGGAACCTCGTCCACGTAGGTGCCTGTGGACTTCCAGGAAGCCATCTCTGCGTCCATGGCTGCCTGCCACTGAGAGGAGTAGGGACCCTCTATCGCCTCTGCGTAAGAGCGCGGAGTCGGGATGTCTGGTGCATCCGGGTCTCCCTCAGGGGCAAGTAGCGAGGACACAAGATGAGGTAAAGCAGCAGCAAGGCACTGGAACTCCTCCTGCCTGTCCTCAAGGACGTCCGTGCTAAGAGCACACTCACCCCCGACGGACGGAGGACAGACAGACTCAGACTCAGTAACAAGACTGGCAGTGAAGTCTAGACGACAGGCAGCAGCAAAGTCAACAAGCTCAGCGACAAGAGCAGACGCAGCAGCAGACTCAAACGACGGGTCAGTGACAACTGTGGCTAGTAGACGCGTGACAGTAGGGTGCTGAGCACGAAACCGGTCAGACGCAGGGTCCGGAACGTCAGGCAAAGAGGACGCAGGAGGAGACGGCAGAGGAACAGGCTGCGGAACAGAGGAAGGACGACGGACTACGAGGTGCGCGCTGGGGACAGCCGGCGGACGCGAACGAGGAACACGAGGACCGGTACGACCAGGACGAGCAGGCGAGACAGGACGCGACGCAGGCTCACGACGCACAGCAGGACTACCAGTCAGCTCAGCGTAAGGAGAAGGAGCAGGCAGCGGCGAGCCAGTCTGTAACGGAAGACCAGTAGACGACGGAAGAGTAAGAACCTGACGAAGAACAGAGGCAGACGGCGGCAGAGACGACGGAGACGGCGGAGCGAAGAACAGTCGTGTCGGCGCAGCTGCACCAGAACCAGCAGCTCCAGCAGCTCCAGTGCCTCCAGCAGCTCCAGTACCTCCAGCAGCTCCAGTACCTCCAGCAGCTCCAGAAGCTCCAGGCCCAGAGCCGACACCTCGAGTCCCAGGGTCTCCAACCTCTGTGTCTCTAGCAGCAGCACCCCCAGAACCAGCACCTCCAGTCCCAGGGTCTCCAACCGCAGGGTCTCCAGCAGTAGCACCCCCAGAACCAGCACCTCCAGCTCCAGGGTCTCCAACCTCAGCGTCTCCAGCAGCAGCACCCCCAGAGCCAGCACCTCCAGTCCCAGGGTCTCCAGCCTCAGTGTCTCCAGCACGAGCCCCTCCAGAACCAGCAACTCCAGCACCTCCAGTAGACAAAGGACCAGCACGACTCCGAGCTCCAGCAGCGCGACGCTGACGGCGACCGTACCAGTCCTGCAGCTGCTGTGGGGTGAGAGGCACACGGGGACGAAGGCGGCCACTCCAAGGAGACCGCGCAACAGCAGACTCAGAACCCTCAGCGCCCGCACCCCCAACGGCTCCAGAACCTCCGGTGTCAGTACCCTCAGCACCAGTACCTCCAGCGACTCCAGAACCTCCAGCGCGAGCACCCTCAACAGCTCCAGGACCTCCAGCTCCAGCGCCACCAGGACTAGGCCCTCCAGCAGCTCCTGAACCTCCAGCGCCAGCACCCTCAGTAGCTCCAGAACCTCCAGCGTCAGTACCGCCAAGCTCAGCACCCCCAGACCCCTCACACGCAGGCTCAGCACCACCAGGCTCTACACCCTCAAGCTCCGCACCCTCAGGCTCAGTACCCCCAGACTCAGCACCCCCAGGCTCCGCACCCCCAGGCTCAGCACCCCGAGCAGGACCACTCGCAGGAGGACCTGAGTCACCAGTGACCTCAACCGGCGCAGTCAAGGGAGGAGGGTCTACCTGAGAAACACCTGAAGGAGCAGGACCGGGAGCGGGGAGGGGGTCTACCTGGGGAGCACCTGGAGCAAGGAAGAGCGGCGGGGGGGGGAGCGAGGCAGTGCGGTAGGGGAAGAGACGGTAAAAGGGAACCGACTCGTCGAACGTGACGTCCTGAGACGCAAAGACACGGCGCGAGGTGGGGTGGTAAAACTGCCAACCAGGCGCGTCAGGGACAAAGCCAAGGAAGACACAGGGAACAGCGCGGGCGGAGAGCTTGTCCGCGGTGGTATCGCGGACAAAGGCACGAGCACCCCAGACCCGGAAACGCGACGCATCGCCAACCTTCCCCGTCCACAGCAGTGTGGGCGAGGTCTCCGGCAAGGAGACACGGGGCCAGAGGTTGAGCTGATGCGCGGCGTACCGGACCGCAAACGGCCACAGAAAATGGGGGGCAGCCGCATGGATCATGGAGGTACGAGCGACCTCCATGACTAAGCCAATGCGGCGCTCAGCAACCCCATTCTGCTGCGGAGAGGCCGGAAGCGTGAACGACTGGGTGATGCCGTGCTCCGCACAGTAGGCTGCCAAGAGGTCGGAGGAGAACTCACCACCTCTGTCAGAGTGCAGACGCAGGACAGGAAAGTCCGACCGGAACCGCTCGCGGAGCTGGAGACGAACAGCGCGGATCCAGGGGATCAAAACAGCAGGGACGTCCCCCTTGCTCTGCAAGGGGAAGACCGTGGTGTAACGCGTGTAGTCGTCGACGACCAGCAGGAAGTACCGCTCGCGGCCCTGTCCCTGGACGCGGGCTGGGCCCCACACGTCCAGATGGAGCGTCTGCAGTGGAGCCTCTGTGGGAGGAAACGAGGAGGAGTGAGGAGCGGCGCGCTGCCGCCCCTCGACGCAAGGAATGCAGGGCGGCGCAGGCGAGGGAGGGAGGGCAGGCAGGGACCTGGGAAGACCAGAGACCAGGGAGCGAGAGTGCATGCTACGCAGGCGAGGCAAGGAGGGGTGACCAAGGCGGTGGTGCCACAGGAGAGTGTTGTGCGACAAAGCGCGACACTCGCAGGGGGCCGCCAGCTGACCAGACGCAGACGCAAACGCAGACGCAGCTACCTGAGGGGACTCAGTGGTCAGTGTGTACAGACTCGAGCCAGGTGCACGGGTGAACGTGGCCAAGTGCCGGCCCGTCCTAGCACACGTACAGTGAGTCACTCGCTGACTCGCAGGAGTGAACTGGTCAACCCCCCCATCCTGGAGGTCAGCTCCACTCACCAAGTTCGTAGAGAACGAGGGGAGGTAAAGACCTGACAGCGAGCCGGACGGGACGGCCGGACACGGCAGAACCGTGGAATAGTGGGCAAGGACTGGACCCCCAGAGGGGTCCGCCAGGGAGACCGGGACTGGCCGACGGAGCGGCGTAAGTGCGGTGCAGTCGCGAAAGAAGGAGCGGGAAGCTCCTGAGTCAAGGGTGAAGGTGTGCGAGACCGCAGTGGGCGCAGTACCAGAGAGAGCAGACACAGCAGCACCTGATGCCACGGCCTCACCAGTACCTAGAGCAGTAGACGTACTAGCACCGAGAGCAGCAGCCTCACCAGCACCTAGAGCAGGAGACGCACTAGCACCTAGGGCAGCAGCCTCACCAGGGTCAGGCGGTACGCACAGGCAACAGGCACGGTCAGCACTAGTAGACAATGCATACATGGCAGTGAGAATAGCATCATAGTCACGCGCAAAGATATCTACCCCCTGTCCATGCAGCTCTAGCCAGGTGGGGAGCTCAGCCTCGTCGCCAAACACTGTGCGCCAGTCGTCGCTCAGACGGGCGAAGCAGCGGGACTGTGTGTGACCAAGCGTCCCACAAGGCTGACCAGTCCTAGCACCTGTGCGAATGACGTACGGGCAGCGGACTGTACGCGTAGACCTGCTACACTGAGCGTACCACTCCTGGAGCTGCCGGGGCGTAAGTGTCTCACGTGGACGTCCCTGCAGCTGCAGCTGGCCACTGCCAGACGCTCCCAACTGACCAGCTCCAGGGCGACAGCTACGACGGCTACCGCGACAACCCCAGCTAGTATACCACTCACTAAGCTGCTGAGGCGTCAGAGGCTCGCGTGAATGTCGCTGGAGCTGCATCTGGCCACCTGCCAGTAGCAGTAGCGCAGGAAAGGCAGGCGCGGCAGGCAGGCAAGCAAGCAGGCAGGCAGGCAGGCAGGCAGGCCGGCAGGTAGGCAGGCAGCCAGGCAGGCAGGCAGGCAGGCAGACAGGCAGGCAGGTAGGCAGGCAGGCAGGCAGGCAAGTAGACACGCAGGCAGACAGGCAGGCAGGCAGGCAGGCCGGCAGGCAGGCAGGCAGCCAGGCCGGCAGGCAGGCAGGCAGACAGGCAGGCCGTCAGGCAGGCAGGCAGGCGCTCACCAAAGGCTGGGAGAGCAGGGCCGGCGCTCGAGTAGGCGCACGACAGCGGCGACGTCGGGGCCGCAAAACCGGCTGCAGAGCAGGGCCGAAACAGCTGGAGGGCGCTGCCGCGTCAGCGGCAGTAGCAGGGTGGGGCCGCGTCAGCGGCAGGTCGGGGTCGTGGCAGCTGCAGGGCGGGGCCGCATCAGCGGCAGGTCGGGGCCATGGCAGCTGCTGGGCGGGGCCGCATCAGCGGCAGGTCGGGGCCGAGGCAAAGGGCCGCGCGCGGCCGCGCTAGGGAGTAGCGGGCCGCGCGCGGCTCGGCGCGGGCTGTTGCGGGCCGCGCGCGGGCCGTGCGAGGCAGGAGCAGGCCTCGCGCGGCTCGGCACGAGCTGCTGCGGGCCGCGCGCGGGCTGCGCGAGGCCGTAGCAGGCCGCGCGCGGCTCGACGCGGGCTGCGCGGGCTCGGCGCGGGCTGCGCGCGGCAGCTGCGAGCTGCGCGCGGCTCGGTGCGGGCTGCGCGCGGTTGCAGCGGGCTGTGCGCGGCTCGGTGCAGGCTGCGCGCGGCTGCAGCGGGCTGCGCGCGGCTCGGTGCGGGCTGCGCGTGGCTGCAGCGGGCTGCGCGCGACTCGGGGCGGGCTGCGCGATCTCGGTGCGGGCAGCGCGCGGTAGCAGCGTGTGTGCGGGCCCGACAGGCGTGTAGAGGCGGCGCGCGGGCCTTACGGGCCTCTAGGGGCAGCGCGCAGGCAAGGCAAGGCAAGGCAAGGCATACAAGGCAAGGCAAGGCTACGTGGGGTAGCGCGGTAACCGCAGCGGTAGGTGGGCCCGAAAAAAAACGGTCCTACGGACCTTAGTGCTCTGAAACCATGTTAGAATCTAGCAGCAGGAATGGATGAACTAACAGGATGCAGGAGTACAAGTAGTAAACCCTAACTAGGTTGTACCCCATATGGGCTACCCCACTACAGCCTAGACAATATGCAGCACATATAGTTTGACACTGCATGCAGTCCTCGAGTTGGCCCTTGCGAACACAATTGTACTCCGTATAAGCAACGCGCGTTCGGGGCGCGCGACGGGCAGCGTGACGGGCAGCGCGACAACGGGCCCATTGGAAATCATGAGGGAGGTCTTTAGGAACTTCCGGCTCTAGATACCATGTCAAAATAGTAGCATAACTCACACCTTAGTGGCCTAGGGTTTAGCTAGGAAGGGTGAGTGTTGAGAGAGTGGTTTGGGAAAAAGAGGATTGAGTAGTGAGAAACGAGAATACAAATAGAGGCTAGGCAAGCAATCAAGGAGGTATACCACCAAACAGGAAGCTACACTGCACTAGATATTCTGCAGATAGTTTATACATAACATATAACAATATATTTCATCACACAGCTCCCTACACAAGGCTTACCAGCAGGTGCATAGTCCTCGAGTTAGCCCTGCCTATGCAGAAATGATGCGAATCTGTGACAGGATGAACCGACATGCACGCACGGACGGAGACACATGCTCAAGTTGTATGCTGCCTCAACAGTCGTTCATGCAGAGACGATGCCATGATCTACCAACGACACACACAATGAATTGAGATCGCTCCTCAAAAGACTCACATGCACGGACAGAGACGCACGCACGGACAGAGACGCATGCAAAAGTGAATGAATTGAAAGCAGCAGCTGCACATGCCACCTCAACCCAGCAAGCCCCCTCTTGTCAGGCATGTTGGTGTTGGTTTGGGGATTAGTGACCAGGCTGCTGAGCAACGAGCTCTGTTCCCCTCAGCTCGCTGCTCACCTCTGCACACCGCTGCACACCTCTGCTCACCCTTGTTCACCTCTGCTCACCTCCTTTCACCACTTACCACTCACCACTCACCGGGTATGACGGTAATAGTGAACAGGCTGTTGAGAAACCCTAAAAGTGAACTAAGTAGATTTTGTTTCGTGAATATGAAGAGGCTTTTGAAAAGATATGCACCGAGTATCACCCAACCCAGCCCTGTTCAACCTAGTTCATCACTCACTACTGGGCACTCACCTCTTGACAGGCATGTTTGGTTGATGGTGGAAACCCTAAAACCCGAAACCCTGCTAAAATGAAATGGGTGCTGAGCGATATGCTCTGTCTACAAAGCAACACAAAACTCTTCACCTCTATTAACCCCTGTTACCCGCTGCTCACCCCTTTCCACTTTTTTTTCAACAATAACATAAAGTCATGTATAATCCACATTCAGGTACTGCATGTATCCCTCACACCCCCCCTCCCTCCTACACTCCGTTCAGCTGGCATCGCCATGAACCCTGAACAGACTCCTGAGGTGCCTCAAAAACCCTAAACAGACTTCTTAGGCGCCTCAAAAACCCTAAACAGACTTCTTAGGCGCCCCAAAAACCCTAAACAGACTTCTTAGGCGCCCCAAAAACCCTAAAATTTTGAGACCACGAACAGCTCAAGTAAGCATGTGCCTCAGAACTAAACAACCCTCCATCAATTTAACTTCCATCAATCTAACCTCCATCCACAGACAGGGCGGCTATGGGTGCTACGGATACCACTGCCTCCCGCTTCCATAGAGTTAAAAGGTGTTTTTGAGGATTCTCAAATACCTCCTTCCCATCCACAGACAGGGCGGCTAAGGGTACCACGGCCTATTTAAGGCTCCTCAAATTACACCTCAGGACAGAGCAGCTACGGGTACTATGGGTACCACGGCCTCCCGCTCCCATACAGGCGGCGGCTGTAAGTCCTAGGGGGAGACCAGGGGCGTCCGCTTCCATACAGACGGCGGCTGTACATCTTGGGCGGAGACCAGGGGCGTCCGCTCCCCCGCAGGCGGCGGCTGTACATCTTCGGGGGGGACCACGGGCGCCCGCTTCCATACAGGCGGCGGTTGTACATCTTGGGGGGAGACCAGGGGCGCCCGCTTCCCCACATGCGGCGGCGCATCTTGGTCTTTCCGCCCGCCAGTGCGCCGTCGCCGAGGGGAGCGATCGGGTGCGGCGGCTCTGCGCGGATCTCTTCCGCTTCAGGCTGAGCGGCGGGTTCCTCCCGCGGACGCTCTAATTCGCGCAGCTGCACTCCGCTGCTGCTGTCCCCGCGGAGCTCGAGCCCGCGCAGTATTGTTCCGCTGAATTCGGGGCAAAATTCATAACCTTGCAAATAGGAATATTTATATGACCCGAACCGCGGATTAATACCGTCGAACCCACCCCCGTTACACTGCGGGTAACCAGATTTAGCACAGCCCGAATTCCCCGGGCACTGTAGCTGACCGATTCCCCATTCAATATCATACGTGTTGGCCTGTTGGCCGGCGCTTAACTCGTAACCGGAATCGGAGACTCGGAGGTCTATGATATCGCAGCAACGCTCGAGTTTAAACTCATTCCCCTGGCAGTCCTCGCAGTAAAGCGCGCCGGATTGAACGAGCGTGCACTCTCCCGAGCCGTCGGGGGCAATACCGCCGCCGTAGAGACACGTGCGACGCCACCCGTTGCCGTTACAGAAGCTCAGGACGGCAACGGTCTCACTGGCCTCGTTTTCGCAGTCCAAGTCGAACGCGGCGCGCACCGGAGCGAGCGGGAGAAGAAGGCAGGAGAGAAGGAGAGTCGCGATGAGTGTTCGGAGAAGCGCGGGAGGAGTTTTTCCGTCCGCCATCGGCGCTGGTGGTGCGTCGTCGGTACTAGTAGTAGTAGTTATCGAATGCGACTAAGAACTTAGAACTAACGTAGCGGCTATTTCTACTTTACTCGCTAAAACATTAGACGTTGAGATTTCGAAACCAAAGGCGAAGAGTTGCGGAAATTGGGAAATATAGCTGACGAATTCGTGCGTTACGGAACAGGCTACCTGGATAGCTGTGAGAGTAAGCAAGCTGGGATTGATGAGACAACAAAGCTGAAGCGAACTAAATGTGAGTTGAGGCGAGGGGTGGGAACTATTGCAGATAGGGTGTGACTGTGTGGGGGGAGACATCCAGTCAGGTCAGCGAGAGCAGTTGTCAGGACAGCAATGCACGAAATTTGAATCGCGCGAAGTCACAAAGGTCGCCGTACGACGCCACGCAATCGATTCGCGAGTTTCTTCCGAGTCATACTGTGCCCCTACTTTTCGCAAACTCTTTTCGCGCGTTTCTTCCCGAGTTGTTCAGGGGTCCAGGCCTTTAGGGTCCACCAGGCTGCCCGTCAATGCTGCTCTGTTACGGCATGATTGGCTGGCGAAGAAGTCACAAAAATTTGCGAATAAAACTTGTTTCTCTAGGGGTCTCGTAGCTGACGTTGACTTTGATTGGGAGAAAACAACATTCAGTCA